TCAGATGTTATAGCTGTGTCCTTGTGTCGATCCATAGTTCAGATGGTATAGCTTTGTCCTTGTGTCTATCCATGGTTCAAATGGTTTAGATGTGTCAATGTGTCTATCCATGGTTCAGATGGTACAGCTGTGTCCCTGTGTCTATCCATAGTTCAGATGGTATAGCTGTGTCCTTGTGTCTATCCATGGTTCAGATGGTATAGCTGTGTCATTGTGTTTATCCATGGTTCAGATGGTATAGCTGTGTCATTGTGTTTATCCATAGTTCAGATGGTACAGCTGTGTCCTTGTGTCTATCCATAGTTCAGATGGTATAGCTGTGTCCTTGTGTCTATCCATAGTTCAGATGGTATAGCTGTGTCATTGTGTCCCTTGGGACAGTCGTTGTGGAACAATGAACATACTTCTCCAGGGTATTGTTGATTATCTGAAGAGGAAAACTGCTGCTTCATGAAAGAGCAAAGTTCAATGTCAATGGCCACAGTAATTGTAAATCAATGTTGGTTTTCTGAGGTGTTACCTGGTGTAGAAGTAATAACATTACAGGGTTTTTGAGTTTCGCGCTTTACGTCTTGTACCATCTGAGCCACACCTTGATAATTTATCAATATACAGTGATGTATGGGGAGATGAAATTGCACTAAAATCGCCAATTGAAGATCTACATTTAAATTATCTTCGTTTTCTCTTGGACACCCCAAAACACCAGAACAATGGCCTTATACAGTAAATTTGGACGTTACCCATTGGAGACTTTTATCAGAATACAAATGATAAAATATTTTAATCGTGTACAGAACTCCTCAAATCCATTAAGAAAACAATGAAATTAATAGTGAATGAAACACAAATTAATAAAAATATACAAACATCATTTATATTAACTTGGAAAAGTGAATTACATAACGATAATCGATCAAAGCAAAATGAAAAAAATAAATTAATTGAGACTGGCGTACACAAAGAAATACTCCTTGCAAATATATTATTCAACCTTAACGATCAAAATCAGAATCAAATAGAAGATGAGTCACCTAATGATGTCATGCAAAAGTTATACCCCCAAAAGAAATTTGAAAAAGGCAAAAACCAGAATTAAAAATTTGTCACTAAAGACACAATTCACAGCCTTGCTAAACAACTGGTCTGACACTCCCTGTAGCAAGGTACTGAAAGAAATGTTTTTAAATAAGACCCCAGTGACAATTACCTTTCCGAGTTATGTTTTGCATTTTGTCTTTTTATAGTATAATAATTTAGTCTTTATTTACGTGTGTATCTAAAGCATATATGTAATGTATTAGCATAGTTTTTTATTTTATTTCCTAATTATTTGTAACCATTGCCACCCCCCGGGAATTTGTAAATGTTATTATTAAAAATTATTATTATTTTATTAATGACCCCGCACATAAGTGATTGAATTTGGCTAGTTAAAGAGTTTTTTAAATAAGTGACTCACTAGAAGTATTCGCCGTGACTTTTCACTCGTGTTTATACTTTCATGTCACTGTCAGGAAGGTTTAATGTCTTGTTTGTATTTACACAATGTGTCAAAATATATGTGGGTGCTTGCATGCGTTTTGAAACTATACACAATTTGACTTATGTCACTAAATTGTACGTTTTGACGACTCGTATGCGATTGTCAGATTATATTTCAGGTATACTCGAAGTGAATCTCAGCCCTGTGCCATTTATAAATGTTCTGGTTGGGTTAATAATTTTCTGGAAACTGTACAACAAATCAAAGATATTTCATTATTTATTGTTATTATTGTGTACGGATATGTGCGAGTATGTTTCATGGGTTAATACGTCACTCCTTTGCTTCAATTCCAACTACATCTCTGGAAATATCACTTGCTGTCATCCATATTTCGATATCCCACAATGTCTGGTAATGCTAACTAACTATTATTTCGCAAAATTTGCCCAGCCTTGCTTCTACTACCATATTGTCCTGAACAGTAAAGGTTAATGCATATATATTGTAAATTACACAGAGGTAACACTACAATACATTTCCCTTTACATTCCCATTACACAACGATCTTTGTGCTGAGGCAGTCATGGTTCACAACCATCACAAGTTCTCTTGTAGAATTTTGAAATACAATGACCGCGTGTTTACAAATTAAACGAATATACCAGTTGTTGCATCACTGTAGTAAATATAACCATTGTATGTAAAAAAATCTTACAATCGCGCGATATCCCGGTACGGCTGTTATATTCTCTTCTCATCGCCCACAGGAAATAATTCATTTAGCAACCGGGAAATAGCATTTTCAATTTTCCAGTTGAAGCACCATTTTGAATAGAAAATAAACATTGCAGCAATGCTGGCCATGCCAGGAGAAAGCAGCATATTGCACACTTAGTACAAACCCTCTCTATGACACAGTTCACCGCCCCGCTAAAAATGAAATCGGTTAATACATTATCCCTTTTTGAGAAAATAAATTCCTCCAAACTATCCCTGTGTAAAATATTCTGAGTAAAGTCACGTGATGGGCTGTTAAAATTGGCTGTTACACACTCTTTTGCCGGTCTGTAAAATGTGTTAGCTCACATTCAAGCAACAATGCAGATTTCCCAGTAAAAATGAAACTGGGGTGACTCTGCCATTAGAAAATGGGGGTGACCGTGTTTTCAACAAAAAAACAAATAACCCTGGAGTGCATACAATACACTGAATTTTGGAACAAATCTCGCATTACTTACAGCAGCAGCATACCACAGCAATATCAGACAAAACATGAAAACACTATATACATGTATTGTAATTCGGCCTTAACCCTCTCTATTGCAATTCTAGGAATTACGCCCATATGTACAACCATTTTTCACTTTGGTGTCACCCACCCCTGAAAACAAACTCTTAATACCACGCTGAAGCGTTTTGTATAAATGAAACAAACAGAACTTGTACATAATCCTGCTATATATATTGCACGAACTTTGTTAGTGGGCTACTGTTGTGAAATTACCCATAAGCACCCACTCCCAAACACACATACACACTCTTAATATCCAATAATCCCGGCTAATATTCCATATCCACAAACTTAAATATACATGAGCGATTATCGAAGACTCTGAACGTGGTGCAGTGCTCAAATGTCATGGCTTATTTGACAGTTCTCCCCGTGTGTCACATATCGAGATAGGGGTAGAGCGGAGATGGCATTCACTCCTGCAATATAGATGACGGTACTACACTCAAACGATGCTCCGCTCGAAAAATTATGTGGCCCGTCCATCATGATAATTCATCGACTCGTTCTTGAGTTCTCTAGCACTCAGTCGATTTCCACTGGCAGAAACATCAATGAACACACGCCCATTTATACTGCACAAAATCCAAACCTTTACATCTCAGTAATTCTCCACACATACACTTGCCTGTGTTTGCTATCCTACCAAGTAGATCTTAGGCTCAAGGTCCTATTGGTTGGACAGGCTTCGTGGAGGGCAAAGGTAAAAACGCAAAAAGTAAAAGCAAATCGCAATGCAAGGTTTAGGTCAAACTCCTGCGCGAATTACGAAATCAACAAATAAAATTATATTATAAAATATGAATTGCACTCAAAATTAAATTGTTTTGTAAAAATAAAATTGAGTTTTAAACGAAATTAAAAATCGAAATATCGTTCATATAAGTCATTTTGTGATTAAATGATTTAAATTAAATTCTAAATAAAAAAGTAGGTATAAAATGTGGTAAATATATGTTTAAATCTATATACATATTAAAAATAGTGATTCAAAGTCAAAAAGTGTAAAGTAAATGAAAAGCAAAAAAGAAAAGTAAATTAAATAGGTTATTGAAAAGACTTTTACATGCGTAGTTGTGGCCCTCTATGGTTGCCGTATTGGACTTGTTATAGTTGAAACCACGTTTTTCTCTTGTATGATATTTGGTTCAGCCACTTGTGTTTCTTTTATGAGGTATTAAGAAATATTGCTTTCGTATATCCAAAATGAAGGAATTTTAAGATAAATAGTTAACCAAGATCTTGAAATTGCTTTACTGAACTTAATGTTTTAGTATTTACCAGAGCTATCGTACGATTCAACGATAAATAACAAGCTACACAATCTAACCTAACCTTAGGCAACTCTCGCCTGGAGTTCAGAAACTGTCACGTGATGTCAATTAGGACATCACGATTCCTCTTGAAATATAAAAAGCTAACAAACCACATGTGAACAATTACCGCTGTTATATTGTACTAAACATAGCAAGTTCTCTACTGGCTCTGTCTAAACGTTCCTTTTTGGCTTCCAGGGAAAGTCGTCTCTCTTCCACGGCTGCATCTTCTCGCAGGAACTCGTCAATGTTTCTCTCGATCAGGAACTTTGCCATTTCCACCTTGATATCATTTCCTAGTTCTTGCAGCAAATAGAATGTTATCATCAATGGAATATCGTCCATCAGTCGAGTTGTAGCAACCTGTCGATATATAGAAAACATTACCCTTTGGGAGAGATTTCTTTATATAGGTTTATAAGAAACGCAGAATGGTGTACCATGTAACCGTTAACAATAATAAATTTAAATTTAATACAGTATTGGTACTGTAACATCTTGCGTATGACTCGAGTATGATTCATATTTCAACAGTTTACAAATAAGCGTCTACCCATGAACTTGTTCGTTTTTAGCGTTGTTATCAACAACATTGTTAAAATTACTTTAAGATACACCTGTAAAGCCCTTAGAATTCTCGCGCATGTGCAGGTGACGACCCTTCTGCTTTAATAACATTGTTAAACTTACTTTAAGATACACCTGTAAAGCCCTTAGAATTTTATTGGCCTGATAATCCTCGTCATAATCACGGGAGCGGCTATCCAAGTTATTATCTGGTGGACTGTTGCTTATACCAGGTCGACTGTCGCCAGTGGTAGGCTGAGCCTGCGCTGACATCGAGTGTAACATTCGCTTCTCAGTATCTTTGTAGATCCTATCACGTGTATGGATCATATCCTCCATTTTAAATTTGTCATCGATTGCTTTTTTCGACTTTGCCACAGCGTTAGTTTGCAAATCGCAGAACTTACTCTATGTAAAACAGGATAAAAAATAACTAGTTTGGCGATTTGCATAGAAACATACTTTGAAGATTTCGAAAACGAGGAATGACATATCCGAAATGTATACTCTTCGGAAGGATAAAGGGCACTGGTCACCCGACCAACATCAATTAGTGGTGTAACCAAGATTAAACAAATATAGAGCCTTATTTTTAAGTTAGAATGTAGCATTGGATGATTACCATCACTGTGGCCTGTAGTCTTGGAAACTGACTGTATGTATCACGGACTAGCCTTTGTCCAATCCTTTCCACTTCCATGTTAACAGACTGTAGCAACCTCTCTGCGGGGGGTATAAATTGTTTGAGAGTTTGACGAATTAGATTATCACAAATTATTTTGTCTTTGGCAAACGGTGGTAGCTCCAACCCCCTCTGTTCAACAAGCTCCTCTTTGATCTCTGCTAAGTGCTCATCGCCTGTTTGGACAAGGAAATGTACATATGTTATCACATATTTATTAAATTGTCTTATACTACGATGACAGCCATCCATTTCTGTTGACATACACCCCATGTAATTGTGGATGTATAAAGCTTAGTTTCGTATTGTTCAGGATTCCCTGTTATACATATAGGTGTTCTGGGTTGAAACGTTTGGTGCGCCCTCATCAGCTTTAAACTAATGTGATAGTCGCCTTTATATAGTAAGTTAGACTGGCCCAGCTGTGGTGATTTTTGTTCAGTTAAAAAATTGGAAAAATAGTTTTGCGAAAGGTGGGGTAAACGCAAAACCACCACAGACTGGTCTTGTTTACAGCGAATCTGTTGCTATTATTTATTCATGATATGCAGTGACATCACTGAACGGATACAGAAAAGGAGTGGGGGCGTGCGCTGCATAATGAGTAACATTGTGGGTCTTCTGTGCAGATCGCGCTTCATTGTAACCCAGGCGAGATAAAACTACACGCTACTTCTCTCCATTAGAATAATTGGTACGGAACGTTATAAATAGTAATTCGTTTGTTATGATTGACGATCGAGAAACTTGAAGAAAAGTGAAGTCTTCAGGTACAAAGGTTAACTATATATAGTTTAAAGGTCAAATTACTTTTATTGGATAACGTTCTTGCCTGTCATTATGCTCATTAACATAAAAACTAGTATGAAAACACACTAGTTCCTGCTTTCACCAAAGAGGGCGCGGCGAAAACGCCCAGTCTGGGTGATTTACAGGGGATTTTGCGTTAACACCTCCATCGCTATTTTTTGTATTTAATTTTAAAGTTGAAAAGAAATAAATCGCCCAGATTGTGCCAGTCTAATAGTAAATCAATCAATGATATCATCCATATTATGGAGTAAGGCTTATTGAAATCTTATTTAAATGTTCATCCTATTCAAGGCGCTAAGCACTCAAGAAAGCAGTCCTTATTTGTTCTGGGCAATAGTTTACTTTATCATTGCCTCGATACATGAGCAATTTTGTCATTCGTATTATTACAAATGACCTGCATGTATTATTAAGTATTACACATCTTCTATAAAATATATATGGAATTCATCGTCCCATATAAACATTGTGTGTTTGGGTGTAGTAGGAAATAGAGTCTTGGTGTGCTTACTGTACCAACCACATAACTCTTCTCTACGGACACGACACATCACACTGCGCAGTGTTAAATTATTTATTAAGAAGGTAAATCATTCCATGGCTCTACCCTAATTATTTTATGGAGAACAATTAAAACAATTACTGAGAATATTTGCATACTACTTGCTTATAAATGTAGTTATCCGGGATACCTAATTGTGAGTGCCAATTGATGGTGTCACGTGACGTCCCCTCTTCACTTGACGTGGGCGCCGGAGAAACACTGCATGGAACATTGGATGCGTTCGCGCCCATATAAGACTGTTCTTCACACAACAATGTTTCATATTCTTCATCACTATCGTCCATGGGGTCTTCTGGTTCTGGATGACTCAAAACCTTTTCTCTGGGAGAGTAATAGTCTGAACCATCTGAACTTTCTTTAAAGCCTGATCCTTGCTTATCAATATGCTGACGATGCGGGGAAGTTTTTCTTCGACGAAAAAACGAAAACTTAGATTCAGATTTAGGCGGTGGAACGAATTCTTGATAGCCAACAATATCATCTGAGTTTAAAGATTCCCATTCATCAACATCGGGAGATAGAATTGGAGACCGTTTCGATGATGAAGGCATTCCTGGCTTTGCTATCAAAGATATTTTCTTTTCTCTGCTGCCATTGTGAGATGTGTTTTGGGACACCATCCTTCTATCGAGTATCGGCTTCCTCACAGTGACTGTCTGAATGGCTGCCGAAAAATTGAGAAGAGACATGTCACTGTGGGGAAGCTCGAGTACATGTAATCAGGCTGTTACACTACTCAGATCTCAAGCAAATGAGTTCAGCCCATCTCAGTATGTAATACATGACGTTTATTTCCCTGGGGCCAATCTGAAGTGTTCAAATATATACTAGAATTCGGCTTCCCATACATGAGTATATATGGAAATTAAACATATTTCTTTTATTGCCTTGCGCAATGTTATCAGTACCCACTACACATAGCCGTTAGCTTGTTTATTCAAATCTATGCTAACTTGTGTTGCAACTACGCAGTTACAAACTAATCATGTGCCATTGTTTAAACGATTTCCTGTTGCTCATATTGTTGTATGAGTTGGTACACTAAATTAATGAGCTAAATAATTTGTCATGTTTTGTGTGTGTGTGTTGGTGAGCATATAAAACAAAATGGAATTCTTTTATTGCGTTTATTAAGAAAATACATTTCTTTTTTTCTGTTCAAGGGCAATATAATGGAAATAATGGCTAAGACCAGCCGGGCTTCTTTGCAAACAATATGTGTACTTCATAGTTATCGCTGCATTTGAATTTACGTGAGTCATTTACCCATGTCATCGAAATTGAATACGTACCACGTGATGCATAATAATAAATACAACCATTACGCAAGATATCTAAACAGTAAATAAAAAAGGCACACTAATGTTGGTACACACAATTTTAATACATCATTGTATTACTTACATGGTTGTAGTGATTCCAATTCATCGGCAAATGTGTCATACAGCTTCATCACTATAGTTTGTAATCGCATTGATCTATCATAAGTGGCGTTCTTGTAAACACCTTCGGCGGCGTTCTTGAAGTCATCCGGAAACCTGTCCAGCAGCTGTGGAAATGAATTGGTTGTGGTAAAAGTATAAACCGTCGAAGTACTAGGCATATCAGGTCAGTTTAGATATTCTTATATCAAATGTCAATGCGCTATCCCTGCGTAAACCAGGTCCGTTTGAAAAAGAATTTACAGGTGGGCCTTAAACAGTGTAATTAAGTCTATGGCACAATCAGATTTGGCCTCTTCACTGAGTATGTAGGATAGAGTGGCCATCACCTAGGGCAAAATTACGATATTATTAGTGTTAGGTTTAATTGAACCCGTATGTTCCCGATTATGAGTTGACAAAACATGTTTAGAGAGCCTGATTTACGAAAATTGTAAGTGAAACAAACATTCATAGATTACTTTTGTACTGACGACCAAAAGCCTAGAAATATGAAAAGCGAATGTTCTGATCTTTTCTCAAATACTAGTAGTCCACCAATGTTCAAAGAATTGTCAAAGAAATTCGTATAATACACTATTGATATAATATAAGAAGATGTCAGCTGGCGGGGTACGTAAACAGCAAATTACACACTTACTCTGACTAGTAAATCAATTCGTTGTACGTCTTTCATTGGCACTTCTTCTCCCAACGTTGTTAGTTGCTGCTTAGTGTCCTCGAGTTTATCTTTAATGGCATGCTGTATCTGGGGAACCGATTTCTGCAAAGAATGCACGCCATTACAATGACTTCATTGCCATATTTCATTGCAGTTAATTTGTGAAATGAAACGCCAGCTTCTATGAAAAATGAAAACTGAGTTTGATGGGATTACAATGACTCACCATTATTTGTTCCACTAGCTCTGTTGTTAGGCGATGTGCAAGTAATCGGGAACCAGCTTGACTGGAGAGAACACTGTAAGAGTAAAATTTAAATTTAAATTTGTTACGTGCGTCGTTTCAATATTAAAGCGGGGGAGTCGTCACCTGTGCATGCGTCAGATGGCCATAGCGTGTCATTGTTTACAAACAAGCGTCTACCCATGAGCCTTTGGATTTTAGTGTCTGTTGTTATCGTCGCTTGGGACTCAATTCCCGCGCGTGCGCAGGTGACGACCCTCCCGCTTTAATATGCTCCTCACTTTCTCATGATACACTGCTTTAAAAGGATGGCTCGTGACCGGCAAAGCGAAGTGCGACGAAGGGAGTGACAAAATGCTGGAGGCGTCGCCCCCCCCCCCAATCAAGCTGAAACCCTTTGTGTTATGTACGTCAGCAAAATCTTCCATGAAGATGCAGAAAAAGGCGTTTCAGAGGGTACAGATTTTAAACAAATTTTCCAGTGAAGTATGCCCCCGGAACTCCCTGTAAAGTTGGGCTTCAGCGCGGGGGATGGTGAGCAGGTCCCCCCTCATGCAAAATGTCGTGCCGCCTCTGTATTTTGAGCACGAATCTTTGCAATATGTAACATAATTATTACCCCAACGCGTTGCTCATATACTTCAAAGTAGTGCAAGATTTTCATTCACTAAACACCAGTCTGGAGAGAAATTAAAAAAATCACTCACCTGTAGTGTTTATGTTCTCTGAAGAACCGTTCCTCTTCGTCCATGGCCTTCTCTAGTGACATAGAATCTTCCAAGTTCCGCTGACTTCGGCATTTCATTATTGTGTATCCTTTCTTCAAATTGATCACTTTATTTTCAGCTATACGCACCACGACATTCTCCGATCCTTTGTCGACAAGATCTGGCTTGGTCAGCACACCTGAAGTAAATGTAAGTCATGCGTAATATAGACAATGGAAAACGTAAAACAATTGCGTTCGGAGCAAGTTGTCAGCGGGTCATACCAAGTTGTCAGCGGGCCATACCAAGTTGAATCAAGCCAGTGTGCCAATGTGTTTTCCCACATCACATAGTACCCATCAACCACGACGTCCATGACCTGTGATGCTTCAAATATATCAAATAAATACAACAAAAGGTTACGTACCAAGTGTTCTTGATCCGGTGGGATCCGCTTCCTGTGCCATCTTGATTGCTTCCGTTGTTGCTATATCAACGTTACAAGGTATTACGCACAAAACAATGGCATCGTCTTTGCTTATATACTTTTTAATCAAGTCTTTCGTCTGCATTAGCAAGAAATACAAACCTGTTACCCGTCTAAAATTAATCGTTTAGTTTTGTGTGTGTGTGTGTTTAGGTTGTGAGTCAGCATGAATCAAAATTTGTTTCATCTCATGGATTAATCTTATAGTGCCTGCAAGCATCGAAGTGAAGATTCAATTCTGTTCAATGGTATATATATAGTAATATTATTTTGGGCACCTAGGTTTCCGGACATATTTTCTATCAGTAATTTTTTAAAAGAAAAAAAAAAGTCAAAAATCGCTGGCAACTTCAAGCTTTTACAAATTGAAATCGTGTTTTAAAGAGTTTCCCCCTAAATTAAGATTTACCAATTTTTGCGAAAAGGTTGCCTAATCGTCAATCATGCGTTACGTTTTCATGTGCGAATAATGGGGCACATCGTGTTGCCAGACACTAACACTAAATCCCGGGATACGTATCTGGTATGGGTAGGACTTACAAGTGTTTAGCAAAATCGAAAAGAAAAGTGTCCACTGATTTTCAAATAAAAATGTAACCCTTTTTTGGAGAAATGGGGACTTTTGGAAAAAATTAAACACCCTTATTTCAGAGAAAACATTGTCTTTGCTATTCGAATGCTTTCTGTCCATTTGATCAGTTTGGTTCAGGTGGAACTTCTAAACTAACAATGTTTTCTACGGGAAAAACAGTTTTTTTTTTCACTCCGCAAATTCAGAATACACATGCGACCAGCAAAGTGCCCCCTCTCGAGTCGACCCGAATCGAGTCTGTGGCCAATACTGTTGTCAACCTCACAATCTGAAAGAATGAGTACGCCGCGGCAGCCACCTCTCATGAAAGGCCCCGGATGGGTATCGTATTGAACAGCGCCACCAAACAACAATATTCCTCACCTCATCTGCAATATTACGAGACTGTCCTTCTTGAGGGACCCTTGCAATACCAGGCAAGTCAATCAAAGTCAGGTTCGGTACGTGAGATGACTGAATCTCAACTGTTATTGAAGTTTTACTGATGCCTTTCTGTGAATTCGTGATTTCTTCTTGTGCTGAAATATCAACAGGCCATAGCGTTATTAATGTCACATCGCACACTACAATACGCACTCGGCTGAAGGCCGGAGACAACTGTTTACCGGGCACCTAGAATCAAAGCCTTGCTCTTGATCCAGCTAGAATTCCCGGAGAAAAAATACAACCATTTACCCAATCTCTCTTGAATTTCCACAAACGTGCATTTTATTAGAAGAAAAGAGACAGTTTGTTTGTCCTGCAATGTATGTGTACCTGGTAAATTGTGATTTTATATGTATCGTCTGTATGTAAATATATATATAGCAGCCTAGAATTAATTAATTGACAAACCTATCCATCTATCCATTCATAATAAATCCATTCATTGAACAAACAAAACAAACAATCAGACAGACAAACAAATAAATAAACAAATAAATAAATAAATAACGTGCATCTCACCTTTACGTATAGCAGCTGCAAGTCCCCCCGGGCTGTCAATGTACTTGTTTACTTGCTCCTTTGAGTAATCTGTGTACAGTATTTTGCAACACCATTCATCGTTATCCAGTGTTTTTAGTCTTAATTCTATGGGACATCGTGTCACAATTTCTACAAACAAATATGAGACACATGTGATTTTGCGTGAGATTGATTTTGGCGATGTATTTAAAGCGAACCTAAATGCGGCCTTAATCTATAGTTGTGTATATTCTAAACTGTATTCGAAATAATATTGCAGTGGTTTAATTTGTTTTAATTATAACTGTAGTTTGGATAGGCATTTGAAGTGCTTGCAATTAAACACCATGGAGGCCATTCATGGAGGGGAGTAAATAACGAACGAACATATTTAACATCCGGGTACTTTTCAAAGCTATGACGTTTTAGTATCTGATCGCATCGTATACGCCATTGTACATAGCCGTTCATGTTGCCAAGCATTGTGTACTAGTACTACTAGTATAAACTCAACTTTTATATGCACAATGTGCTTTTTAAAACTTGGGTTAGAGCCTTATGCGTTTGAACCACAGTTTTCTGAGAGTGGAAGCCCAATTGCGTTAAAGTACCGTACTTCCTCGATCGTAAGCCTCTCCCGAGTATGAAGCCCATCCCTATATTTTTACTAGGTATTTATCAAGTTGAGAGCATTCATGATTATAAGCCCAGAGTGTTTTTACTGGGCGTCGACGATATTCTTTAAAATATGCGTGTAAAAGGTGCGTTTCATTTCATAATAATCCTGATTGTCATGGTAGTTTGGTTCGTGCTTTTAGTTTTTATGAAAAAACTCGCATTAATTTCAGAGTGCATGGCGAACGTACACAACATGGTTCGCATCCTTTCTATTCTGTCATTTACTCAGGATGAACCCAGATGTCGCAATACTGGAGTAATCCATGTTTCTTTGAGTAGTAGCTTTTGAAAAGCCAAAAATGCGATCGTTAAGTCGTGTACCTGGTTATTGGGCATGGTTTACTTTGAGACTATCATGAAAGGTCTAGGGTTTGAACGATGAGACATGTTGGCGACCGAGAAAGGTGTTTAAATTCTTCCTCCACACTCAGTTTACCCACGGTTACTACCAACCGTCGTTTATATTTCGAAAATTGCGAATCGCCAGTTTTTAGGGGAAAAATCATCGTTTTTTTATTGCAATTAGTGCAGCTGCAGATCGCATTTTAACATTGCGGTAATTCACTTCCACATTGCGTTAAAAAATCATCGTCAATAATTGGAAAATTTCATCATTACGACACATCATTTTGATTGGTTAATGAAAGAAATGACCTGTTAGACCTTCAGGTCCTACATGTTATCCAGATTCTCGTGCTGAATCTACCCGGATCGTTAATACTTAATACTTACTTATCAATGTAAAATTTGACCGAGAAAAAGTCAGAATAGTAAAAGATAAAAGTTGCCCGTGTCAAGAAAGCTGCAGAATCAAAACAGCCGTCAGCCGTCGCCTTCCATACCAGCGATATTTTACACATAGAAAATGAGAATCACAATTGCATAGAAATGAACAATACAGCTATTCCGGCCATCCAATCGAATCATCAGTCTTCATGGTTGATTTAACTGATATTTCCATCCACTTGCTTAGTTGTTGTCAAGTTCGAGTGTGTTTTTATGTACGCCGAACGTGTGAACGTTATTGAATACATTATAGACGTGTTGAACTGGAAGTTCATTTTGGGCTAGTGCTATTGTCAAATTTTGGACTTCTTATACTGGAGACGTTCCAGTACGGAGTTGTTCGACTGGCACATCAAAATCCTTTATTTGTATAGAACATGTTCTATATATTCACTAAAATAATAACGTTGCCATGTTTCTAGGCATACAACGAACTTGAAACAAAAGAAATCATTTGATCCAAACGACCTGCGTACTTGGAAATCAAGTCTTATGGCCCTTGTGTTTCCGAGAGAAAATACCAGCGAAGATTCCAGGGGAACAAATATTAGTGCTGTAATTCACTCGGATGATGTGATGCATGCAAGTAGTGCAATATCACAACGAACGTTTCGAATGTTCGCCCATTCTTCCATGTTTATTTGGTGGTACCATGGAGGTCTTCTTTTCTACTTCCATGCTGATATGAATGATTCATTCCAGCGCTTAGATAGGTTATTTATTAGAGGCGCTCGAGGAACCAAAATTTAGCGTGAATGGTTTTCCGAATGAAAAATTTCGAGGTCAAAACAAAAAAACGATTTTCGCCGAATTTATTCATTTTTTGGATGACATTACATTGATTCAGCACAGCGGTAATATAGCTTATTTATTAGAGGCGCCCGGGAACCAAAATTTGGGACGTGAATTACTTGGACGACAATAATAACCAAGAGGTGAGAAACTATTTATCGTGACGATAGCCACAGGGATTGGAACCCAAGCATATTTTACCTTTAGTAAGCGAGGGTGAAAAAAGTGTTTATGCACTGAAATTGTTTTGATTGTCCAGCTTGGCGAACGCAATTTAATGCGTGTGAATTTGTTCTAGTTGTCTGTGGTATCATAAAAGTTTTTACTTACTTTGCAGATGCAACATTTACCAAGCCAACACCTTTGAAAAAGCAACAACACAGAGCAAGCGTGTAAAGGTCATAAAGGTCATGCAAACAAAAGAACACCAGCATATTGTAACATCCTTCCTTTTCAAGGAATGAGTTAATGGACTACAGTTTGTTGTATATAAGAGTTCTGACAGTGCTTGTGAATAGTTTATACTGAAACAGATCTCATTCACATCAGGGTATGGATATAAAGCTGAAATGTATAAGTGCATGCTTTATCTGGATATGTTATTAGCGGTATAACATTTTCAACTGCAAAACTAACAGTAAATTGTCATGTCTCATGGTCAGTCAAGTGGTATATTGGTCAAGATGTTTATTGGTCCACTTCATTTTGGGTGAGTGATTTGTATGTTGCAGTCACTGTGGGGTGTAGCTGGCAATGCAACGGCTGATGTCCAGTCAGATGTGGTATTCGACCGAGTATTTATGGTTACTTGTCGTCTGTCATAAGGTGGTGATGTGTGTCTGTCAGGAATGTAGTGAGATTCAAGAAATGGTGATTCAGCAGATTTGTTCAAGTGCATTGTGTTGCGTCGGTAGGTGCCGCCTGGTGTCTATGGTGTAAGATCTCTGGTCGAGACGTTGTGTCACGATGCCTTTACGCCATTTCTTTTCGCCGAAGACAAACTCTTTCATCCTGATGACATCATCCTTCTCCAAAACAGGTAGATCGTGGGCTTATCTGTTGTAATACTCAGCTTGTATGAGTTGTTTGTATCTTATCTTTGACATATCTTGGTTGTAGTAGTCTAGCCGTGGTCGGTAATAGTGTTCTTGTATGTTGATTCATGAGTCATTGTACTGGACTGGATTCTACTCTTTGTGTAGAGGTGTTGCGCTGGCAGAGTATGGCAAGGTTTGTATCGCTATTGGAGTCCTTGTACTTCCTTAGAATGCGTGTTGCTTTCTTGACTACAGATTCTACCTTTCCATTGGCTATTTCTAAACTCATATGAAACATATTGGGGTCCATTGTCGGATACTACTTGTACAGGTATACCATGTCTCGCAAAATGACTCTTTGTTTATCACAGTCGCTGGTCGTGTATTTGGTAGTTTGTCTTGTTTGTAAAATCGCTGTAATACTCAACAGTCATGTGTAAAGAAATCAGTCGCAACTTTCTGCCACAGGCGTTCAGATAACCTGTGACATCAGTGTTTCCTTTGTTTGACTAGTCTCGTAAGTTCTGCAGGTTTCGCATGATGAGATATGGTGTTTCACTTCTGCTGACATACCAGGCCAATATAGGCTCCACGTTGGCATCCCTCCACACCAATATAAGATGAGTGTATGCGAGTTAGCATGTCTTTTCTTATGCTATGCGGGATGACTACTCTCTCTCTCCTCGAAATATCAGGCCATCTTGAATAGACAGTTTAAGTATGGTGCGTGCGCTGGGAGTCGGTGTTTGATGTGTGGCCATCCTGTGATGATTGTTTTCTGCAGCAGTTTTAATGACTCATCGTTATCAGTAGCGTCACGAATTCTGGCCAGTCGTTCTTCTCTGATGGGTAGGAAACTAATCATATTTATTCTGTCAAAGACGGTTTCTTTAGTACTTGCAGTTGTGGGTGGGTGCGCCCTTGACAGTGTATCTGTAATTTACATTTCTTTACCGAACACGAATGTCATAGTTCTGTAATTGTATCATCATACGTTGTAGTCGTTTGGGTAAATTTCAGAACAACGAAGTTCAAGCTTTCCTTGTTGGACGGCTTTGTTGAGGGGCTTCGGGTCTATGCATATTCTAAATTCGCCTGATTTTTTAGTGGTAGTAACAAACTGATTAGACCATTCTGTGGGTTTGTCTACTCGGGTTAGAGCTCCTAAATTCTCAAGTCGGTCTAGTTCAGCTTTCAGTTTACTTCGAATTGAAACTGCGACTGGTTGACACGGAAGAGTGACAGGGACTGCAGCAGGATTCACATGGAGGTGAGTGTCATTGAACACATAAGAATAGTTGGCGATGATATTATCTTTGCTGTCAGTTTTGACTGCATTGACTTGCTTGAAATTTCCTCTATGTAATGACAATAAGTTAATTTGATCAGTAGCAACAAAGACCAAGTAGTGAAGTTAACTTATCTCCCACTATGATGAACTCTACGGAAATAATTAAACGACAAACTCCAATCGGCTTTACTTTGGTACCAATCCAAATTACTAAGGTTGTGGTACAAGGCTTTATTTGTTTCTCTCTAACATACCTAGCAGGCAAAAGGTTGACACTAGCTCCACAGTCCAAATTTCACTGATTGCCTATCAATGATCATTTCAGTATAGACTTGTTTCTCTTGAGAACAAACAATGTAGACTTTTACACAGGATATCCAATCAGGGTCAGAGTCAGAGTCACTGTCAGGTCGGTTGTTAGTATCATAGTCAGAGTCAAGTACAGCATGTGCTCTACTAGATTTCCTACATTTCTTAGAAAAATGCATCAATCTACCCTTACAGACAGGTTTTACCCCACGCGTGGCATTTAAATTTGTCAGAAACATGTTTATAACCACAACATTTACAGTCAATGTCCCTAGTTTTTGCTTCAGGTTTTGAATATTTCTTCTCCATTTTCTTTCTTAGCTCTCTGGATTGAGTTGACTTCACCTTGTATACTTCATGTTGAACTCCCATTTCCTTCAGTTGTAATGCAGTTGCCTCAGCCCCGCGACAAATATAAATACAGGCATTTAACTTCAGATCACGCTCTTGTAGTAAACGTTTGGCTTCAAGACATCGTGACACGGACGACTTGTAGCTAGCACTGTTTTTAATGTAAATAATTGTTTCCCAATAATAAAATAGAATTAGATCGCCCTGAAATAAAAACGCGTGCTTTGCCGAAAAAAAAAAACCGAATTGTGCGTCCATGCAAAACCGGGGTCAGAGGTCAAAATACGTGTCAGCGATTTTCTGTTAAATTCACGTAATAACACTGTCTCTATGAACGCATTGACGTAGATTTCCCAAAATTACGAGCCGTAAATATTTGCTATGTCGCGTAAAACATCGGAAGACTTTTATTATAATATCTTGCTCTGATTTGAATAAAATCAAACGAACTTTAGTGGATCGCACTGGAATAAAAACTCGCACTTTGACGACAAAACAAACTATGCATCCCTGCTAAATCTAGGTCAGAAGTTCAAATACCTGTCAACGAATTTCTCTAAGTCACGCAATAATGACCACATTTGTAGATTTCAAAACATTACCGGATGTGAAAGTTTGTTATACATACACATATGAAAGAACAGACAACTAGATTTGCAGACAACTAGAAACTGTTTGCATAGATAAGTGTGTATATGTCCACAAGGAATGCGCTGCGATGTAGCGATTGGTATCAGCACAGTCTCTCCATCCCCGGTCCAGAAACGCTTGACGGTCTATTGTCCCAGGGCTAGTTGTGGGTAAATTAACCGTTCACACCTTGGACAATTAGCCAGAAAGCTGAGCGTACACTAACTTAAGCACTGCAATCACAAACTGCAAACAGAACATATTACCGTGAATCATCAAAAATTATTTTATTGCCTTCTATAAAATTGAGCAACCCGCTAAAAACGAGTTGAGTAAGTTCAGTAAATCAAAAACAAAATGGCGCCCGTGAATAAATTCTCATCGGGGCAATAAAGTCTTTCTACTAAATTTCTGGCAGTGCTGAAGAATTTATACTGCAGGACGTTATTCTTAGAGACATGATGTCACCAGCATGGTAAACTACATTCTAAATAATTTATATGCTTGAAAACAAAAATATTGGTACGAAATTCGGCAAGAAGCCATCATTATTTTGAACGAAAATAGTGAATGCCCAAATATGAAACGTATACTGAATATAAAATAATATAATATAATAAAACAAGCACAATAAACAGATCCACCAACTACAACTAGGTTTAATAATTATAGTAGTACCAATAAGCCAACTACGTTTTAAGCTGTAAATAAAAAAACATCGACATTTCTAAAACACATAATAAAAAGGGCCAATCGATCAAGTGTTCGAGTACCTCATATTTAAGTGCGATATGCTACTATAGTAAGACCTGCGGCTAAAGAATTGTGTTGAGCTTCTAAATTTATATCAAGTATCAAATTATATGGTCTTTTTCGGTTATAAAAACTAAAATATGCAGGGAACAATGAATCGATCGTTTCAACGGAATGGTCTGCTATCAAGAGACTATGCTTTGCGGAAAGCCATACCCTGGACTGTCTGCGCACTGGTGGTAATTCACACCTTAGACAATAGCCGTTATCAGACCGGGGATAGCGGGACTGTGATATCAGTTATGCGTCACTGAGATTTCGTTGATATTAAACTTACGCTTTACATACACACTTCAGCAGACTATCAAATAAATAATAAAATAATAAAATGTAGATTAACAGTCTTTTATTATTCATAACATCGTAACTACGCAACTTCGATAACACGCTGAATCGGCTGTACGCGGTTTCCAAAGAAAATTACCATTACTTCCGCATTCTACAAATATTCACAGCTATAATTATAGTAACAAAGGGATTATATAACGCCGTAATTCATAAAATCCTGACTACGCAACTACGCTGGATCGGCGGTACACAGTTTACAAAGTATAACATATACTATTACACCCGCATTCTACAAATATTCACCAATATTGCCTGTCAGTTAGTAGTTGAGGTAAAACCATTAAAAAGAGCTTTACATACAGACATGCTTTCTTATACTTGCTCAGTTACTTACCATTGCCTCTAGGAAGCTGAACCCCCGATATCGCTTCAAGTACGGAACTTTTACCGACACTCTGGTCGCCAATGACAACCACGGCTGGAAGATCTACATCTTTATCCAAACCAATCCTTCTCAGCGAATCGACAAGATCGATGCAAGGACGTATACGTTCTTGGTAAGAAGCCGCCAGAGTCGGTATCTTCGAATCGGTAGCCATGTCTGCTTGTGTCGGTTTCTTCTATTGAATGTTGAAGTACATTCTTTAAGTTAATAATTAGTTTGGTTTGATTACCGTCGCGTTCCTGACACGGACATACACGGCGACCCCCTAGTTTAGCCTTGATTATTAAGTTTTTCGATCACGGAATATGACCAACCCGTGCTTACACTGAAGGGCTGGAAAGCTCAAATATCGCGAGATCAGGCGCGAGTTCAAGGTAAATAGATTTTAAAACACTCACTTTTAGGGTATGTATTTAGGGTATGTATGTATAGTCACACGATGGCCTACCCAGGTATGGACCCTGCTTCCCAAGAAAGGCTGGGCAGGCAGTATTTCAAAAATGCAATCCCTGAGAAAAAAATAAGAGACGGTATATTTAGACCAAATCTAAAAACATTTGACCAGGCGATACAGGCTGCAATGGAGACTGAGTCACACGTGTTGGCTGAAAAACAAAGACTGGCTGAGCAGTACCCCCAAATGTAGCAGAGTGCTGAATGCTGATTGTGACTCAGAGGCAACGGAGCTGAATGAAGGAATAAAAGAAATAGGTGTAGGACAATTTCAACCAAGCCCAATAGCAGAGCAGCCATGTAGTGGGGGACAAGACCAGAAAGGTGGAGCCTGATAGGAATTGAGTGTTACAGATATGGTGGACGGGGGCATATTGAGAGAGACTGCGCTACCCCACCAAGCAGATATGCTGGAAATGTATCACGACTAACCCCAGGGACCAGGGCTGGGTCGGAAATGCAGACAGGCCCAGGCAACCCCAACAAGCAGTAAAATGGTGCAGAGAAGAAGGGGGCAGGCTACACAGCCAGGGAAAAGAAACTAGAGGAACCTAATACAGAGACCCTCCAAAAAAGGAAAGTAGACCCCTCCTTACCGTACATGACTATACTAGGACGACAGGCGGTAAATTTACAGCAGACAAATTAGGTGGATTGCAAAGATATTTTTTAAATAGATACTGGGGCATCAGAAACACTGCTGTCAAGAAAACAATATCAACAGGTGGTGCAGAGATCTGCATTGGAAGTAGAAAAGATGCTAAAAGCCAGTATTATTGAACCAAGTTGTAGTTCCTAGACCTTAGACGATATTATCATGTACGACAGAGATGTATATGAGGAGTTAGAGCGTTTGGAAAAAGTATTGGACAGATTGCTGGTAGCCGGGTTAAGACTCAAGCCAAAGAATTGTGACATGTGCAGAACCAGTGTAATGTATTCGGGTCATATAGTGTCAAAAGATGGCATAGCGTCGAATCCAGACAAAGTGAGAAGTACAAAGCGATTTGTAGCTTAACTTAGAAATAAACAATTGAAGTTAATAAGCTTATTTTCCGTCACTGCTCGTTTTTTCTTTCAATTTCTCCTTTATTTTGCTCTTTTGCTTTGTACTGTTTATATTTGTTATGAGTGGTGACTATTGTGCAAATTATCATGTGTTTGGTTAATTAAATCATGGGTTTCAAAACAATGACATGTGTTTTTGTTTTTAATTAACATCCCTGTAAAACATCGCAATTCATTTTTTTATGAGTGTTTGCTCCTTATAGCCCAGCATTGAACAATACAAAAAAGTGGAATTTTGATGTCAAAGCACAAACAAACCATAGAGCATTCTTAAGTTTAGCTAAGTCTTTACTGTACCTTTTTAAGATTTTAAGAGCTCACAGAAAAATGATGATTTTGTGACACAGTTGAAAAATACAGTTTCATCAGATACTAAGATGCTGCAAATACATAGGTACAGAATTTTAAGCATAAAATTGTTGCTATCCGGCCATCTTGAACTGAATCGTAAAATGAATGGACATGCATATGTCTCCCAAGATGAATGATGTACGTGTGACGTTTGAATGAATCACTGAATCAGTTCACCCTGTATTATAAACGCTGTCAATTGCGTACATTCGCAAATGCAAATTTAATTTTAAAGTTGTATTGTCTCCAAAATATTATAGAAATGTATTGATTTGCTTATTTCAATGACCTATGTTAAAATCTTCCCACCTAAGTTGAAAGCGTGAAAATTTCGCTTTATTTCCCGCACCTTCGTCCGAAAATTTCCGACCGTATCCGGACATTTGTTTATGGTTCCACATTCAACTGCTTAGGGAGCTTCATTATACACTTGCGCGGGACACGGATTAGTGAAGCAGACGGTAAGACATGGCTTCCGTAAAACAATTGGTAAGTTTCCGTTCTGTTAACATGTTTTCTCGACGAAATTGTAGTTTGATTTAACTGTTCATTATATTAATCGGCAGTACCGCGATGGAAAAGATCTGAACGTAAAATTAAGGTTATTATAAAATTCGACTTGTCGAACGATCGCTGACGCGACTCGGTTCACTTGTTACATTCCCTGTAAATTTTATTTCTAGGATGCTCAATCTTTATCGTGATAATGTTTTTTTTTATATATTTCTCACAACATTTATGGCGTGGGTAATGATTATAGGCAGAAACAGAGATTTTTTACTGGGTTTTGTACACGGGATGGACCATTTCCGGGCCGGGATTTCTTATCAACTTTGCCGTGAAGACGTAGTCATTTATTGAAAACGCAGTGTATTTCCGGCCTTTCATTGATCGTCGTAATTCTGGGTTAAAATAAAATTTTTAAAAGTCAAAGAATCGCCGCCCTGTCCTGTTTACCAAAAAATTATATCACTGCGCCGATCGTGTTGGTAATTTTTTTTTAAACGACGAAGGCAATTCTGTATTTACAATAGGCACCAGAATAAAGTTGTCTTCCAGCGAACCATTTGTATTATTTTTATTTCCACGCTCCACCCGCCATACTCTACTTGACAGCGAGGGTCGTGTTGCAGTGGCAGTGCCGTACGGTCCGCCACACTTTATTTTCGCTAGAATGAAGTTTTTGCTGTTATGCGCGAAGTTTGATTTTTACGGACTTGTAACAGGTTGATGAATGTGAAAGATGGGGGGGGGGGATAATGTTCACCGATTCTGGTTAGTAAAACTAAATTACTTTACAGATGTAATTACAACATTTAAACAGTGCAACATCAGCTGAAGGATTTTACATGCATTTAAAATAACAATGTACTTTTTATTATAATTAAAGCCAAATATTTGGCAGTGGCCTTAAAAACGTAATACAGTCGAAGATTTAATCATGGGATTTTCCGAGCATTCCGATAAAGCGACCGCCTGCCAGGAAATCACCGTAAAACATGTCCAACTCAACGC